CCGTCAGTTTTGTGGTGTGACGTTAAATAAACTTTTACACCAGCAACAATCAGACACAGGTTGCGCTTGTTTCAAAGTCATCGCACCTTGTTTTGGTTCCAGTACGTTCGTTTGATACACCCGGCTGTGTTCGCGCAATGCCGATTCCGGTCGAGGAATGAATGGAGCAGAATCGGTTTCCGCGATTCCAAAGAAAAAGTGGAATGAGTTCTCATTCCGAGCGGAATGACAATGCGCTTCGGCCACTGTGGCCTTTGCCGCTGTTGCATACCTCCGCCAACAAACTTTAAACTCGATTCTTGCCATACGCAATGTTGCCGGACATTGTATGGGGTATAGGGCGGCATTGGAAGCTCGGCATAGTTACTTGTTGGTGGTATTTTGACCCTTGGCTGCCTGAGAAAGTGTTCGCCCAGGATAAGAACTGGAAAGATGGCCTCGCACCTCTCCTCCTCATCGTCGAGCAGGGCCTCTAGAATCACAGCGAGACTAGCAAGAACTCATTGTCGAGCCCCACGATCCACAGCACCTAATCTTCCAAACAGGTACTGAGCCTGCCACTTGGCTTCTGCTCACTGCAGTGCCTAATTTCTGTCAAATAAAAAATGACCCTCCGTTACGTGTAGAACTAGAGATGTTTCTGTGTCTGAGACGAGGTGTCGAAAAGTCATGATGAAGTAGTGGACAAACGCCATGTATAGGCACCCTAGTTACGGGTGCTCGTAGATCTACGCCGCGTTTGGCCGCACCATCATCTGGACTGTTGTAAGGGGCATGCAGAAATGTACGCAAGCAAAAAAGTAACTACCGATAGCCTTGGCAAGGCTGCAAGGCTACAAAACAACAGGCGAAGCTGGTACACAAACAAAACATCCAACCATCATTTTCAGAGTTGCACAAAACGCCAGATTCACGAGTCCACGCGGGCAGGTTTGTTTGCTACCCTCATTCCGATTCCGCGATGGGTACCGACCGCATGGCCTGCCCATTCGGGGAATGACCGAACAAATGCAACCTTAAGCTTTCCATGTAAAAGTAGTGCTGGGTTGTAGGAAGTGGACTTACATAACTACGTCAGCAGTTCAATCTCCCCGGAAGAAGATACTTCTTCAATTGAGTATACATGGGATTTCGTTGCGGGTGCAACAACTACAAATGGTCGTGCCACCTTGCATTTAGTCGTTGACCTTTGCGGTACCCGTTGGCTGACTGCAATTGTTGTTGTGATTGTGTCTGGCTGGGCTGCAGCCTGTTGGTCATCACCACCTTCCTCCTCGGTGGTGTTGGGGGGGAGGGGGGGGGGGGGGGGCAGGATATCCATGGGGACGTTGACAGGAGAGTCCACAGGCAGTGTCCTGTTGAAGTGGAATTGATGACATCAATAAGTTCGATGTACTTGCACTTAAGAATGAACTCTAATTCTGACGCTCGTCATATAAAACCATTCTGCTCTATCATTTATTTTATGTAACTTCTACTCGCCATGGGTTTTGAGCCCACATGGATCCTTTCTCCATGTTCTCGTTTTATTGTTTTGTGCAGCTATGTTTGGGAGATTGTGGTAATGAGTATGCCATCAGTGTTGTACTGACCAGATAAACTTCGTGTCTTTTCTTTACTTTCTTGCCAGTGCTTCTTTTCTATTCTACTATAGGCTGTCGAAGTGCCTACGTCAAGCTGCCTGAAAACTCGTAGTCACACGTAGTTACAAGCCCAAGTGGTAACAAACAAAAGTCGCGTCACCTGCACTTGTGTTTCCAACGGTCACAGCATCACTTTGACTGGTCTTTGACCAACTCACTGTACAGACTGTCTGATCAACATGATCAACAGCAAATCTCATACGTACTGTCGCGGACATGGAAATACAGTCGATTGACCGGGGCCGGCGCCCTCAGCGCGTACATAACGTCGTCGTTGCATGCAGCGCACATGTTGATACGATGCGACCAGCAGCAGCGCGTAATAGTAATACCAGGGAGTCGCGGTCATACTGCATGCCATGGCGGCTTGGCCAGCGCCCTGGGGCCGCTAGACGTGCGACCGGATTTCCATGTCCACGACAGTACAATGTTATGTACATGATGTACTATGGTGTGGAGCAGACTGCGAGTCTGTGACAGACCCGTCGACGACCACTGATATCATGTACATGTACATGCATGACGGGTAGTTTTACTGTTACAGCTACTTGTTGGGCAGAAGCGTCACCAGGTCACGTGGTCACGCTGACTGTTGAGTGTTGACTACCACTACGATTGGAAAGGCCATCCTTGCTGTCATTGGCGGAGACGTCCAAAAGGCCGCGGGAAGTCTTCAGTTGTGTGCTGGGCAGGAATGCGGGATCGAAGCCGCAGTTCACGCCATGCGACAAGTCTTCAACAGCAGCGAGTCTGAGTGTGTTCTCCTTGCGAATGCAACCAATGCCTTCAATAGCATCAACAGGGAAGTGTGCCTCCGCAATGTACAGCACCTCTGCCCAGCGTTGGCCCCAATCGCCATCAACTGTTACCGCCACTCAGCCACCCTATATGTAGGTGGTGCGTATATGCTCTCCAGTGAAGGTACCACCCAGGGTGATCCAATAGTGATTCCGCTGTACGCTATTGCCACCCTTCCTATTTTGCAGGAAGTGGCATCCGAGGGTTCAACCCAAGCCTGGTATGCTGACAACTCTGCGGCTGGTGGCAAGGTGAGGCCTATTTGCCAATGGTGGGATAGCCTTGCCGAGAAAGGGCCCTCTTTTGGGTACTTCCCCAATCCAGCGAAGTCTATCCTTCTCGTCAAGCCAGAGTTCCTGGATGAGGCACGCCGAGTTTTCCAGTCGACTGGCGTTCAGATCCGATCTGATGGCGTCCGATATCTGGGGTTGGTTGGTTGGTTTGGTTGTTTTTTTATTATTTCAGTTCGTTGCCTCAACAGTACAGGGACGAACTAAAAGAGAAAATAAAACAGAGCAAAGAGGTAGATGCAACTGAAAGGAAAGGAAAACGGAGAGAAACGGAGAAGGAATGTTGACCTGGGGGGGGGGGGGGGAGGGGGGGGGCGGATTCATGAACCATTACTAGATAGAAACGGAGAAGGAATGTGGACTGGGCGGATTCATGAACCATTACTAGAGCAGGGCAATGCATGAACAGAAGGGGCATGTCCGCCGATATTCATGTTTAAAAAATTCCAAGCCTTATTTTATTGGTGAAACACATTTTCAAAAATGAGGGGATATAGGGATATAGTCAATATGTCGTCATTTAGAGCGTGCAACAGTTCTGTAGAAAATGATCTAATGTCCTCACTTCCTTTCAAGTGAGCAGGGAGGGCATTCCACATAAGGGATGCTCTGGGGGAAAGGAATTGTACTCTACCATGGATTTATACAAGCAAATTGACATATTGTTTGTTGTAGTTCCACGAGTTGACCGCTTAGAGGTGGGCAAAGGTAAAAGACTGCGTAAGCATGATGCAGGCTGAACAATATGCCAAATAAACGTAAACGTAAGAAATTGATAAATGTATCGGTATTCAAGGTGTTTTATTTGAAGAGAAGCAAGAAGGGGTGGTACAACAGCATGATATGAAGCACCGCAGGTAACTCGTACAGCTCTACGGAACAAGGTAAACAATCTCTCCCTGGACTGTGCTGATAGGTGAGATGCGTACAGGGAAACAATACTCAAAGTCGGGATGAATCACACTAAGCAGGTACTGGCGACGGGCAAATGCTGCCATTTGGCGGAAGGTGCGTCGCAACGCGCCTATCTTGCGTGACACCTTGCTGGTGAGGTGATCTAAGTGTGGAGCAAATGAGACCTTGTTATCGATAAGGATACCACGGCAGCTAATTACACTCACTTCCCTTAAGGTAGTGCCGCCAAGCTCAACAAGAACGGGTCTTTGTACGTCAGGAGCATTCTTCGGCAAGATCCTCATGACCACGGTTTTGTCAACATTAACGCTCATGCCCAGTGATCTTAGTTCATTGTGTATCTTAGCGAGAGCCGAGGACACGACATCGGCGCATACTATTGGATCTAGTGAGGAAGCGTACAAAGTCTTTTCATCGGCAAACATGAGGAGCTTTGCACCGCTCCCTGCAGCCAGGTAAGTTAAGAGTCGCACATATAGGTTAAAAATGGTGGGACCCAAGATTGTTCCCTGCGGAACCCCTCGGGTTACAGGGAGAAGAGATGATGTTCCAGAGGCTGTACATACACGCTGGTGCCGGCCGTTCAGGTAGGAAGCGAACCATTTCAGGGCAGAACTATGAATGCCT